ACGCCCGGGGCGTGGCATGTCTTCTGTTGACATGTTGCCAGATTTGAAATGGGAAAACCACTCATAGACCTGTGATTTCCCCAAAGCATCATCATTAAAGGCTTGCCGAAGCATCCCAACAGTCTCGGCTGCAGTTTTCCCTAACAGAAAGCAAAATTTCACGCACACTCTTTGTTCCTTCTGGTCGGCCATCTCACTAATCACCAAAGGGTTGAAACAGAAATGCACACAACAGAGCACCACAGACAAACCACTTAACTCAGACTGACGCCAGCTCACTAACAGTGGCGGGAGACCCCCAGCTAACACCACCTAGCAGCACAACTCGTAACTACAAAGCATGCGCGCGCAACAGGTCGGTTCAGGTTATTTTTGGGTCCCCCTTCGTATATAAAGCACCTCACTATGCACAACCAGTTCAAAAGTCGTGATACAAATTTTCAACACAGACACTATGAAAAAGACAAAAACAACCACAGCTACTCCTGGCCAAATGTTGGACCAAGCTGCCCAGCAGCTTACTGACTTTTGTGTATATACATGTATGTGAAATCCATATTGGCCCAGCAGCTTACTGACTTTTGTGTATATATATGTATGTGAAATCCATATTGGAAAAAATCTCTTCACTAGACTGTTCGGTCAGATGTCACACAAGCCACGCAGACAGCTTTCTTGTATTTTCCACAAATATTGGTGGTTCTATTTGCACCAGCCTGGATTCGTTCTATCCTATGTGATGAACTTCATACATGATGGGCTAATCTGAATTTCTCCATCAGGCTCTGTTTAAGTTTATTCATGTGTCCCACCAGTTCTTATTCCTAGTAGCATGTTTTCCTGGTGTAAATTCTACCACATTCACAGGGGATAATACAAATGTAATGCCTCATATCCTATGGGCTCCTATCCAGTCAAGTTTTTACCAGTGAACCCTGAAGGGTACATCTGGTTTTGGACACTGTCTTGATACAGTATTTATTGATAACAAACCTGAATTTCTTCGTTTCCTGTGCATTCTGTGGAGAAACAACATTAAGTGAAAATTCCTAGAAGCTGATTAACATAACTGCAATTTGGTGCTTGAACACAGTACCATTATGTCGGCTGGATGTCTAGTACCATACAGATGATGACTTCCACTAATGTGCTTTCATCTGTACAGGTCATTCTAAGTTACATATATAATGTAACGTGTTTGCAGAGATACTTCCATGGCAACGAAATAACAGTGGGCCATTGAGTAGGAATTTCAGAATCAACAAACGCATTTCCCCAGAGATGGAAGGTTCGTTGCATAACAACGGATTGTTGAACCAGCAGGAATAATGCACTTCCGCGGTAACGAGTCAGTCTTGGGATAGTCGCAGTTGAAGACAGTTCGGATCCAGCCACAGACAAGGACAGTTGAGATGTCGCAGCCACAGAAGGCAGAATAAGCATTGAAGTAGAGGCAGTAGTTGCGATACTGCAAGTGATAGTAATTGTAATCCTGACTCTAAGTAAGTGTGGATGATTGAGTTCAATAAATAATCATTGAATCCGAAGGCTACCAATGGCAAATCCATCATGACAGGGCATTTTCCTGCTCCATCCAGCTTTTGCTAAAATTCTGGACTAAATACTGTACTCCACAAGTGTAACACCTTCTCTTTCAAAAGATATGTCTTTTTATGACACTTTTCTGTTCTCTACACATTATGCAGCATTGAAATGCTACAGATTTGAGAAAGTGGAAACAAAAAAAAAATTAATGAGGCACTTGCTGGCAGTTTCAAAAACTGAGTTTAAGAGGTGCATCCAGCACTGGCAAGAGCAGTGGAGTGTGTATATGTTGAAGGAGTCCACTATGAAAAGGATTAATCCTCAAACCTACAAGTATATTTACTTTAGTTAGTACAGATTCAGTCTCAGTGTATTTTGATTGGGCCTTATGTTTATATACTTCTGTCAGCTAGCACATAGCTAGAACATTTTAATTTCCACCCAGATGTGTTTCTTGCTAATAATATGTATGTACTCTTACCTGAGCATCTTCCAGATGCACATCTTTGCCCTGACTCTGGGACTCTCCAGCCACCATATCTTCATATTCTTTCCTTTTCCTGTCCACTTCAGCAAGCTCATCCTCAAGTTCACGAATATCCTGTTCATGGGCTGCATCTGCCTTCTTTGCTTGTGCCAGAGACTTACGTGCTGAATCTAATTTCTTCTGGATATGTGCCACTCTTTCCTTGGACTTGATGAATGCTGGACGCTTTTTATTTATCTCCACTTCCTGAAAAAAGAAATCATGTTTACAGAACATATTATTTACATTCAGAAAAAAAAACAGCCATTACTTCACCAGAAAATTTGTATTTAAAATCTGTAATACAAATTTAAAATATATATAGATTTTTACGTTACTCTGTTCAGGAAGTGGTAACATCTTCAATACAGGACATGAAAGCAATCTGAATTTCAGGCAACTAGGCAACCTACCAGTCAAAGACTAGACTTTCCCAGTAAAGGGACAAATGTATACAAATTTTGCAAACATCATATTAAGACTGTGAGGACTTCCATTAACTGCTCAAATGTAACTACTTAACTCCATGCAACTGAGTCCTTCCAGAAAAGCTGCCAGTTGCTCAGCTACTCCAGAACTGCCAAACATTTTATGGAACCTGCAGGTTCATTATCATGTTTAGAGGAGCATTATTTCTCTAAGAACCATTTTAATATTATCATCCCACCTATGTCTAGGTCCTCCTAGTTGTCTCTTTCCTTCTCACTTTCCCACCAAAACCTACACACATTTCTTTACTCCTCATGCATGCTATATGCCCTGCCTATCTCATAAAGGACGTTATCATTCTCATATTTAGTGAAGCACATGAGTTATGAGACACTTTATGCAGTTTTCTCCAACCTCATATTAATTCATCCTTCTTCAGTCCAAATATTTTCCTAAGCACCATTCTCAAATACCCTCACCCTGTGTTCTTCCCGTAATGTCAGCAACCAAGTTTCACACCCATACAAAATTACAGGCAATATTATAGTTTGGTATATTCTAATTTTTAAGTTTCTAAGCAGAAGACAAGAAGACAAAAGTTTCTTAACTGCATGGTAGCAAGTATTACCTGAATTTAATCTCCTCTTAAGCTCTTCAAGAACACAATTTAATTTGTTAGTGAAATTCCCAAATGCTTGAACTCTACCATACATTCATATATCTGTTGCCTATTTTTAGGTTATGATTTCATCCTGCATTCTGGTGATGAATCATGGACATATATTTAATTCTGTGTTTACTTCTAGACCAACCTCTTTAGAGTGTCTCGTAGAATTTGTATTTCTTTATCATATTTATGTCACTGCCCAACATATTAACATCACAAGCACAGACCTGAAGCTAATATATCCCATTTAATTTCAATCTTACCTGATTTTCTTGAACCTTCCTATTGTCTATTCTAAAGCAAACTTGAAAAGCGACTGTGAAAAGCATCTCCTTGTTTTGGATCATTCTGAACAGAAAATACATCAGACAAATGTCCACCTATATCAATGTTACTACAGGTCCCATTTAAACACATTTTAATAAGCCTAACTCATTTCGGGGTACTGCAAGTTCAAAGATAATAGTATACAATACTTCCTAAGTGAAACATTGGCTTTCTTGAATAGTCGATGTACTTTCAAACTGTACTCCCAACCCTTCTACAAGGTGCCATCAGGAAGTTCCTGGACTAGGTCAAAAAAGAAATGCTGGCTTAACTTTCTAAACTTTTGGCTGGCATTTCCTTCAAAACTGTCTCTTGGGAAGGTATACAGCAATCCCATCATTTTTTCCATGTTTCAAAAGCACCACGGAAATCATTTTCTTTAATGCTGTTCAGTACCACTTGTGATTCCCTTTGGATGTCAGGCACTGTTTCAAAACATCATTCCTTCAGTTTCATTTTCAATTTGGGAAGCAAAACAAAACAAGTGGGGGCTAAGTCCAGCAAGGAGGGAGGACATGGAATGATAACCATGTTACTGTTAGTCACAAACTCTGCAGTTTTCAGGGACATGTGGGTGGGTGCATTGTCATGATGAAGGAGCCAGTTGTGGTTACGCTACGGTCTTTTAAGTTGCGTATTTTCTCTCATGCATGCCCAAAACATCACAGTAAAACTCAAGAGTTGACTGTAGTGTTAGGAAGAACAAATTCATGAGGAACACTGCTTGATTTTGCCATCTATCACACATGAAGTCAAAAGGGCTCTCATGTAAAAACAATGCGTGTTCACATCATGGTGTCACGTGGCAAACTGATGCATCAGTCTTGCAGAAGTGTGATCTTGGCCCCCCCTCTCATCTTCTTTTACCGAGGCAGTTACAAAAATAACAGTCCTGGAGATGACATGTAGCTGGTCTGTTATGTCAACAACCACACTGACAATCCCCAAAAATTTCATCCACATACAGACTGAACCAAAATTATGTATTATGTTCATATTGTCACGTGTTGGGCGTGTAACGCGACAAATAAGTTCGCGCCGTCGACACTGACAATCCCCAAAAATTTCATCCACATACAGACTGAACCAAAATTATGTATGATGTTCATATGTTATGCCTTGATAATTACCAGTCAGTTTTATTGCACTTCTTCCACTGCTGAGGCAATTCTTCCTTATTCCAAATATAATTAAAGAGTTTATGGCTATCAGTACGTAATGTTTCACCTCATATTTGAATCAGTTCTACCACAATCTGATCAATACCTAGCAATTTATATTTTTCAAGCTTTGCAACTGCAATTTCAATATCAAAACAACTGGGATCAAATACTAATGTCATAGTTGTAAATATTTCCTTCTGCCTAACATAGCCCTCATAAATACACATGGGATGTTAGAACAGAAAACTATGGCAAAACCTTGGTGTTACAAAAACTTGTAAAATTCCAAATAGTTCTCATTGCAGTAGATACTTGTAATATCCAAAAATGGTTGAAATATGTAACTATAAGACTGTTCCCTAACTTCCAATTACATACAACACAATATGGCAAAGAGGTTTAAATATGGGGGCTATTTGGAAAGTAACCTCCGTCTATCTTAGTCAACTAACACAGGAGCAGAAGAGAGCTTGCACAAGCAAAGTAGCACCACATGACTCATTGCCTTGTAAATAATGACATAACTGGTCATAGCGTTTGTTTTTGTCTCTACAGAGTGAGTTATGATGTATCCTGTGATGAACATTTCTCAACAGTTAAAACTCGGAGGCTGGGTGGAGGGATAAGGTGCTCACATATTCTGGAATGCAAACTATCTCTCAGACAAGTGTAGGACAGAAATGGTGGGTTAACAGGACCTTATTGGCTGCTACCCATGACTGCAGAAGTAAAACTGAATGTGTAGTTGACATCAGAAGTTACAGAAAAACAGTGGTGAATGGTTAGGTAATCACTCAGTATGTGAAATGTGCCCAAGGAATGGGGTACCCACTTTATGCAATGCTTTACCATATGAACAATGTTAAGAAATCGGTAGTTCCAAAAGATGTTATTACTATAGCGAAGACCTTGCCATGCTCATTCTAATATGGGTTAACTGTATAAAATAATTCCTTTACAGACAAATTTCTTAGGGACAAAAATTCAATTGAGCAAATCCAACAAGCATTCGCACTTCTTATGGCCACATTATCATAGACCGGATGTCACTTGAGATGAAGGCTTGAAGTTTCACTGTAAGTACAATAAGGAAGAGAAATTAAATTACAGAAATACCATGAATACGTGTAACCTACCAGCTCCCTAATATCTTGTTCCACTTTGGCTAACTCTCGACTAAGTTTACCACATTCTTTCTTCTTTTCTTTCAGTTGTTCCTCTGCCTTTTCTTTCCGCTTCTCCACCTTTTTCTGTTCATGTTGCTTCTTTTCTAGATCCTGCTCATGGCGCTCTATATCCTTCTCATTGTGATACAGTCTGAACAATTGCAGCTCCACCTGCTTATCTGACTGTAAACAAGACACATATTTGATTGTCACCTTTCAGCACAATCTTTAGCTACAGGGCATTCAATCAAGGAGGAAACTTCACAACACTGATGACCGGGCCCAACATTCCTCACAGATTGCTGCTGTGACTGTAACTGTAACAGCACGCGTTTACCAGCGCTAATGGCTCATTATGCTAAAAGCAGATACAGCAGCAATTAGTGAGGAATGTTGGGCTGGGTCAGTGGTGTTGAGAAGTTTCCTCCTTAACTGAACACACTGTACAATCAATATATTGATTTTGTTATTATATCATACTTTCTATAAGATAAAGGTGTCACATGCCCTTGATCCTTCAACTATTCATTTTTGTGGAGTTAACTGCAATAGTTTTTACAGTAGTCAACTGGAGTCTGGTGTTTCTATTCAGAAACCTTCAGTCCCCAGCAAACACCCTATTACTTTGTAAGATTTGAGGCTTTCATGGCGGTGACTATGAAGAAAGCAGTCTTCTGGGATTTGGCACCGTGTATATGTGGTGTTAACCGAAACGTTGGTTAACACCGCATATACACGGTGCCAAATCCCAGAAGACTGCTTTCTTCACCCTATTACTTTATAACATGGAGAAATGTTCTGCATTCTTTCATAACATATAAATACATTTTAAACTGTATAACAGAGGACTCATTCTTCAGTCTAGAGGGCTGAGTTGGCATACAAATGGATCCAGAGCAGCTGGGCACTCTGGGGCATGTGTATGTGACGTTGACATCAAGGAGGAGACTATCCTTCCCATTTGGTGTACATGCTACAGTGTTCCAGGCAGAAATCTGCAATTGTAGTTTGTGCAAGGGACTGTATAGAAAGAAACTATAAAACAGAGTAAATCTATATTTACTCTGATAGCCAGGTGGCTTTGTGAGCCCTTAGGGCAACAATGATAACATCAGAGTTGGTTTGGGATTATCTACAGGCAATTTGTACCCTATCCAATAGGAACAAGAAATCTCTCCTCTGGGTTCCTGGCCACAGTGGGATTCAGAGCAATGAGGATGCAGATGCCTTGGTTAGGAAAGCATCAGGCAATCCATTTCTCAGTCCTGAACCAGCGATTCTAATCTCACAATGTGTTGGCAGGCTCAAGATTAATGTGCAGCTGGTGAGGAAGCACTTCAAATACTGGGTAACCAAACCAGGTATGGGATAATCAAAGCTCTTCACTGAATGGCCCTCGGAAAAAACTGTCTAGAGGCCTACAGCCTTGGACGGGGAAAAATGCAGACCAGTAACAGGACTAACTGGTCACTGTACTCTGAGACAGCAACTAAATACTGTGGGATTCTCTGATAATGCCATATGCAGGAAATGTGGATGGGGAGGAAAGAGTGAAAATCTTCATCTCTGCTGTGGTGGAGCCAACAGATATTTCGGCCTCAATAAAACAGGTTCTGGGCCTTGCACTTAGAACAGGGCTCCTTTGAAGAGCTCTAGTGAAAACAGGTGCGCACAATGGACCAAGTGGTGGTCTGAGTGAGCAGTACTCAGTACTCAATATAACAGAGACACTAGATGTATGTCCAACTACATTAGCACCAAGAAGTTAGTCAAGATGCTCAAGAACTCTGAAGGAATTTCTGGGTGCCTTGACCTGAAGCTGAACTATTACAGTGAAGGGTTTTCAAGTGCTTAAGCTAGAAGCATTAAAGAATACAGCAACTTCAGTTATGAAAAACCTAAGAAGACAAGAATGGTCAATTTGGTTGCTCGCAGCTATATGTAAAATTACAGTAAGTTATCACTCCTGAAATGTTCATTTTATAACCACATATTCTTGCCCTTACAAGAGGTACTTCATGATGTTTTCTTTGTAGATTTCTGAAAATGTAGATTTCACAGCGTGACAATTCAACTACATAACAATTATAAAATAAATCATGCAAATTAACAGCTTTATGCTGATGATGATAACATAAAATAGCCAAATGCAAAATACAATAGATTCTCAACTATCTATGGCAACGAAGAGAACTACAGGAGATACTCCACAACTTCAAGTAAATCTCCCCTTATGAATCAGTTTTCTACATAAAAATACAACAGTCAGAGTAGCTGAGCTACCAGTCAAGGGGTTATAAGAATATGAAAGGTGGCTGCCAGAATGGCATAATGGTGTACACAAGATCCAATTTGCTGTACTTCCCCAAAAACAAGCAATATCTACAGTAATTTATCTAACAGTATCAAGTATATGGGCTCTAGGCCAAATGAAATATAAGACGCTTTCCACAGCAAGACACAGGCCACAAAAAACTGACACAGTCAGCATTAAATAACATATTCATCCGAACATGATGGTGTTCTGTAAATTTACTACAACCACAAAAGAAATAATCATTTTATTTTCTGTTTTCATGTTAATAGCAGACTTTCTCTAGCACTAAGTATAACACCATAAATGTAACTATTTCTTAAGCTGAAAACTTAAGGAATGTATTTTGAAAAGGACAGGATTGCTTACTCTTGTGACCCACACTTCTATGAAAAACTGGGTATCGTAAAAGAGAAAGGTGGCATAAAGATGTGTAGTAAAGTGCAAAATGATAAAAACTATAAATATAACTGTAGGCAGAATCAAGCTACAATCAACTGGAACAGAATGTCATAAAAAATGAAATAAGCCAAAAGCTCCAGAGTTAATCCAAAAAGTTGCTAGTCCACAATATTATAATATTATTAAAATTTTTAAGCTTAAAGTTGATTATTAAACTGCTGTATTTGCTATGCAAACATAATACAACATACTAAATCTTCCTTCAGCCTTTGATATTTCTCAGCTTCTTCCTTCTCTAGCTTGGCTTCCTTCCGCTCAGCAGCAATGCCTTTCTTCTTCTGATAAGTGAACTGCGTCTCCTCTTCTGCTTTCAGCATCTCAGAACGAAGACGCTCATATTCATCTTTCAGAACACCTGACCTGATTGTAAAACATTCAAATCTGCTTGCAAATATATAAAATTTCATATTTGGTCCCACAAAATATGAATCATTGTTTCCAGGCTGATGTATATACATACATTTGTCACAAAATACAACACAAAACATTAATAATCAATCCCAGCGCCAAAAAAAACTATTTTATTTCGTCTTGCATTAATGGATCCAGAAACCAGACAAAATATCAAGCACCTGACACTGATAAAGTAAAGTAAAAAGGAAAACCATGTATACCAAGTACAGGTTGAATCCTGGAACTCGAAGAGTGTTCAATGAGATGGAAGCTCTGGGGGAACAACTTGGATTTGACAACTGCTTTGCTCATAGGTAGAAAGGAAGTGCTCCTGTGCTCAATGAAGTTTCACACCATAAAAAAATATGGGAGCGTGGAGGTACTGCTCAATGTATTCTTAACCCTAGTATTAGATGGTGAATGGTCAGCTTCATGCCCTGACCACTTTACCCTCAGGGAAAGAGCCCCCATACCCATTGTGTATGAGGTTGGGTGGGCCCCAGAGCCAGTCTAGATGCTACAGAAAAGGGACTTATATCTTGCCCTAACTGGTTAATCAGCCATCCTGCTGCTCAGTAGCTACACCAACTGAGCTGTGAAAAAATATCATTATAACACTGTCTTTCCAACAAGCCATGACTGAAAGAAAATGAACTGCAGGCATGCATAAACACTGTATATTTGTAAACTCCACAACTCCTGACAATCAAAACTGTAACACTGCTGGATTATATAATCCCAGTCAAGAAGCAGTTTATATCGTTCATGACTAAGTACCTATACAAGCATGAAGCTGGGTGGGCCATTCATACCTAGTGTGTGAAACTGAATCAGTTTCTTGACATGTGTACATACAGCTTTAAACCCCAGCCTGTATCTCTTAAACAAGCAGATAAAAACACAAAATTAGCTATAAGGTTATTTTCTCTCTGAATCCATTGGAAAAGCTGCAAAAATTATGACCACAACATCAAAATTCTTTCTCCATGTTGAGTTTACCAGTGCAAAGTCTGGGTAATGTAATTTACAGGAATAAAAGATGAAATGCTTTATGTGGTATAGCAAGTGAAGGAAACAATTCCTCATATTCTTGTATCAAATACTGCATGGAAATTCACACCACCTACTTTCTATACTTTTCTTAACATAATTCTGTGTATTCCAAAATGAAACTAATGCATTTTTCCAATAAGTCGTATAATGCAATAAAGTTTAGAAGCATCACTTTGTACTTTGCATATTATGTACAATTTACTTTTAAACATTTTATTACATATAAAATTTGTTGCATTCAGTGTAGCAACAAAGAACTTAGGATTCAGAGTGTTAACGGTGTCTGCAGTTCCCATATCTCCAATTCAGCCTTACCATCAGTAGTGTTCTTTAGCAACGTAACGCTGTAGCTGGCAAAAGGTCAAAGAACAATAAAACCATATTCACTTATTTTCTTCATTAAACATATCTCCAGCAACATTTTTATTATATTGTTAATTTCTTCTATATTATAACTATGTGCAATAACTAAGGAAAAGGAAACAAATGAACAGCTATTAAAAGAAATTAATGAATAAATATTCATATTCCTTTTTACAGATGGTTGGGGGAAAGAGAGAGGGCCCGCACATGTACGGATACATAACAGCAACAACAAATACACAATTCCACTGCTTAACAATTTCACACTGCCAGTAGCCAGGTCATGGTTAAAGTCAACTGTAGATTGTTACATCCTCTGTACAAGGACCTGACATAAACTCAACAGGGTCCTTGTTGCTGCAAGGTTAATTGTGCTCTTTGCATTTATGAATGCCATGCAAGTGTAAGAAAATAAGCTTGACTGTTTTTTATTTATGGAATTAATAAACCCCATTCTGTACAACACTGGCCAGAATGGTAAGGATCGCATTAAGATTAGCCAGATAATGAAATTTACCATCTTATTTCGTACCTTACACACTTCTTTGGACAATGTCAACAATTTAGCCAGAACACATACATTAATGTGTAACTTCAGCTTTTGGATTTAGCAGCATCATATACTGCAGAAGTTTTAACATTTCAGCACACATTACAGTCAGTCTTCGGGGTGAGTATGGCAGCTGCAATGTATCCCAAAATAACTTCAACTTATGATGATGCTAAATCTGCAAGCTGGATCAGACAAGAATAAACAATGAAGGTCAACTCTCCATGTCCCAGTACAAATACTGTTAAGATTCTGTAACATCAATTGAGAGGTGTGAACATAATGGAGACTAAACAAGCAGGGATAGAAAATTATGCAGCTACTGCTTACTGTGGGCTCCAGTCTGAGGGTAAAAACCCTCATATTCAAGGGTTTAAATCTTTTTCCAAGACCTATACACCAACAGACAAATTAACTCACTTCCCACCATGCCCCTCCAATTTCTTTTATGGAAAACACATATGCTGTCTATAAACTTAAACAAAATGTAAGTAAATCTCCTTTGCTCTGCAATCACCACGAGGTAAGCTTTATACTAATTATTCCTGCGCATGCAAATTTCTTTGCAAATGGCACCTGTGATCCTTTATGTGATACAGTGCTTTGTTTGGTCAATCACACATTGTGGCTGAATGAGTTCATGTGGTAGTCCATTCGGTTTCATCTTTAGCAGATCCTTTAAAATGTCAATTTACAGTAAACTTCCTGTTATCCAGTATCCAAACATCCAGAATTCTAATGCAAATGACAAAAATTTCAAAGACAGTTTACCATTTTATAAAGTTACATAAAAAATAGAGCTGTAACACATGTATGAAGGATATTTGGAAAGCAAAGATACAAGTTCACTAAAAATGCAAGGGTTTTTTTCCCCCAGAAATGGCAGTGCTGCTGTGAGATATGAACCGTATCACAGGGCAGAGTAACCAGCAACAGTCATGGCAACATTGTGCTCACAGTGTGTGTTTAAAATGGTTGTGTCAAGTGAAAATCACGCCAAATATGAGGTTTGTGTTACTTCACATGAAAGGAGAAAATGCTGCTAAAATTTATCACCAACTTGGTTCTGCTTACGGAGAAGATGTTATGACCAGGCAAAATGTGGCAAAATAGTGTCATGAATTTGAAGCAGGAAGAAGTGATGTTCATGATGAAATGAGTGGCAGGCCATCCATTATCACTAATGAAATCATCCAAAAAAAACTGATAAAAACATTCTTGCTGACAGACGTTTAACCTTCATTGAACATCATCAACAATGTCCAGAAGTGTCAAGAACTGTACTCCAGTAAACTGTTACAAAAAGATTAGGGTATCGGAAACTGTGTGCATGTTGGGTGCCGAAAATGTTGAGAGACGATCACAAGAAAATGTGAGTGGCTGCAGTGCAGGCATTCCTCGCACAGTACAATGATCAAGGTGATAACTTTCTGGACTGTATTGTGACGGAAGCTGAAACTTGGGCAACTCATCACACCTTAGAATAAGCAACAATCAATGCAATGGCACCACACATACCAACAGTGAAAAAGTTCAAAACCTAACCATCAAATTGAAAAAATCGTGGCAACCATCTTGTGGGACAGGAAGGGGCCACTTCTCGTCAAATTTTTGCCTCAAGGAGACACCCTCAGTGCTGCTGCTTAATGTGAGATGCTGAAAAAACTGTGTTGGGCTATTTAAAACATGCAGAAAGGAATGCCGACATTAGGAGCCTGCTTACTGCACAATAATGCCCATCTGCACACTGCTCATGCCATGCAGGAGCTGTTGCAGTCCTTCAAGTGGGAAGTACACATATTGGCCCATCCACTGCACAACTCAGACCTTGCACCAAGCGACTATCACTTGTTGTCTAAATTGAAGGAAAGTCTGGCCGGAAAGACTTTTTCGGATGATGATGAGGTTCAAGACGTGGTGATGACATGACCAAGAGAGCAGGCGGGAGATTTCTACGATGCTAAAATAAAAAAAAAAAACTCATTCCCAGGCTCACTAAATGCATTTCAATCCATGGCGACTATGTTGAAAAGTAAATAAAGATGTGTTAAAATTGATTAAAAAAAATGCTTTCCAATATTGTCTAGTACTCACTGGACGTCTTCTATAAGCTTCTCAAGTGAACTATTTGAATGGAGGTAGTGAATGTGTGAGGTTTAGGTCTTTCTTAAGTCACCCAAACTTCTCAGGACACTACCAGCCTGCCTTGAGAAAATGTCAAATGCAGAACAGGCTGCAGCTACTCTCAAGTGATGGAGTATGAAATCCTCCCATTCAAGACTTTTATTTCCGACGTCCTGAGTCTCCTGCTACTTGTCTTGAACTCTGTTCTTGTTTGCATTATTTCCTGCAGTTTTCTGTCAAAATACTCTCAAAAATGTTTTCCCCTACTGGCCCTACAGTGTCTTACAGTTTCTCTATGGAATAATAGGCAATTTCAACAGGTACTTACATGTGGCTCAACATCAGGCATTACCTTTGGAACATTAAGGATAGTTTCTTAAAGCAAAAGAAATTCCAATGAAAATTTGCTGAAATAATGTCAACAGAAAAACATGAAAATTCAAAAGGACATTTAAGAACTGAAGGAGACAAATTAAGTAAAACAACTAGTGTATATTTTAACCCACCAGACATTAAAATCTGCTTCACAGATGGTAAAACCTACTCATCTCGGACAAGCAGACAAGTGGGTTTTTAACACCTCATCATATCAAACAGGTATCACATGAATACTGAACCAAAATTAATTACCAACATACCCACTGATCTCTTCAAACAGAGCTGTTCTTTCTTTTGGATTCTTCATGGCAATTGACTCTACTGCTCCTTGAAACACCAAGAAATTCTTGGCCTTCGCATTAATGCCCAATTTTTCCAGATCCTGAAGATACACTTGACTCGTCACTGCCTACAATAATAAAATGGTGCAAAATAATTAATTAAACATAAAAAACTCTGAAATAATGCTATTTAACCAGTGTGTTCCCAACTGTATAATGACTGGATCCCTCCGATTATGTTTCTAGGGAAAAATTAATACAAGAGCAATATTTATTTATGATATGGTGAAATATAATACCAAAAGGAACATAACTTCAAAATAAACATGTTTCATTTACTATAAGGGGCAGTCAAATGAAAACAGGTCAGCACGCATGACTCACACAGCGCACAATTTGGTAACACTGGAATCTGTTTATGGTACAAACATCCAGTGGGGACTTGGGAAAGCACAGTGACAACATGCCCTTGCACACTAGTTGTTTTTTTATTGTGCTGGAAGTAGGGTTAACGCTATGTGTGGTCATCCAACATCAGTAATGGAGGTGGGTAAAGAAGAACAGCGAAGTGTAGTGCGCTTTTTGACTGCTGAAGGAGTAGGAGGACGAGAAATTCATCGTCACATGTCTGTTGTTTATGGCAAACACAGCATGTCACGTTTGCATGCGCTGGCATGGCATAAGAGATTCAGAGAGGGACGTGTGTCACTATAAGATGATGCTCTCCCAGGAAAGGTTCATCATGTCATCACTTCTGATGTTATTCAGGTTAACTGACAGATCACTGTGGAAGAAATTAGACTTCTGATGGGAATAAGTCACGGATCTGTACACGCCACTGTGATGAAACACCTGCTGTACTGCAAAATCTGTGTGCAGTGGGTTCCACATCAACTCACGGAGGAACAGAAGACTCAGAGAATGGCTGCATCACTGGGTCACTTGAAACAATACCATGAGGAAGAGTATGCTTTTCTGCCCCATACTGCCACTGGGGATGAAACTCGGTGCCACCATTTTGAACCCGAGAGCAAATGGCAGAGCCAACAGTGGAAACATGTGAATTCTCCCCCACCGAAGAAATCCAAAGCTGTACACATAAGTTCTGGTAAAGTGATGATGACAACATTCTTCTTCAACTGCAAGGGCCCTCTGCTTGACGAATTTCTTGAGGATGGGGCCACAATCAGTGCACAGTGCTATGAAGACACTTTGCAGAAACTGAGACGTGCCATAAAGTCAAAACGCCCTGGAATGCTATCAAACAGCATTATCCTTCTTCATGATATTGCGTGCCCCCACACTGCCAACTCTGTGAGGAATACACTACAGAGATTTGGTTGGGAAGTGCTTCAACATGCCCCCTACAGCCCAGATCCCTCCCCATGTGATTTTCACATTT